CTTTCTTGGCATCTCCTTTTTGTTCTTAATCTTTTTTTTTTTTCCCCCTCAAACAGTCTTGCAAGATCTCAGTTCAAAACAATCCAATCTTTCCTTAGTATTCTCTTTCTTAGTTATGTCTAGCCTAAGAGTTTGGGTAAGATATTAGGTTGTTTTATATTTTCTCTGAATTAGATATAATATAATCTCATAGTTTCTAGAACATTAGAATAAAAAAAGCCAAAGTTGTAAAATTAACTTATTAACAATAACTATTGTTGATAACCACTGTTTTGATTATAATTGTGTCATGAATACATAGAATTTAGTACTTGATTATTTTTCACTATTGATATAGGGAATGTATTTATGTATATTCCAAATTAAAAGAAAACTAATCTAATATATATAATCTATGTATTTTTCTCTCTTCTCTCTTTCTCTCTCCCGTAGGCTTATAATCTATATCTTTCACATTGGGAAAATGAAAGCATGAGTTTATAATTCCTGCCAGTTAACCACAGCCAGCCACAGTCAGTATTTTAAGAGTATAAGAATACATTGAGAAGTGACATTGGAACACGCACTTGCTCCTTGCTTAGGTGACATTCCTGACAGGCCTGGAATGGACGCCGTTAGCACTCACTCACCCTCCTCAGGCCCCTTCTGACGAACGTGCTCCACCTCATCAGCATCTCCGATCTGTTCTTGACTTTCCATCTCAATAAGACTTCGCACTATTCTCGCTCCACTCCTCTTCACTCCAGGATCTCCCCTTCCTACCCATTTACCACATAGCCAGTGATATCTTTCTTTCTTTCTTTCCTTCTTTCTTTCTTTCTTTCTTTCTTTCTTTCTTTCTTTCTTTCTTTCTTTCTTTCTTTCTTTCCTGAGGCAGAGTCTTGCTCTGTTGCCAGGCGCCAGGCTGGAGTGCGGTGGCAGGATCTCGGCTCACTGCAACTTCTGCCTCCCTGGCTCAAGCAATTCTCCTGCCTCAGCCTCCCAAGTAGCTGGGATTACAGGTGCCCGCCACCATGCCCAGCTAACTTTTGTATTTCTTAGTTGATAGGGGGTTTCACTATGTTGGCCAGGATGGTCTCGATCTGTTGACCTCGTGATCCACCTATGTCGGCCTCCCAAAGTGCTGGGACTACAGGCATGAGCCACCGTGCCCGGCCATAGCCAGTGATATTTTGTATCTTACACAGCTCTATTCTGATTACGTTCTGCGTAAAAACCAAGCTAACAAGGAGTACAGAAGCACTTTGGATGGCTTTTGTGACCCTCATGAACCTGCTCTGGGTTCATGCAGAATCATCCTCAGGTACTCGTTACAGCATAGAGCCTACCATGTGGCCATTAGTCCTTCCGTGAAAAGTGTGCATTTTATGTCTGTGCTCTTTTCGGCAAATTGTTTTTTTCTATAGGGAATGTCTTTTCTCCCCCTCTTTGCTTGGCAGAATGTGACAGAACCTTCAAAGCCTAAGTCAACTGTCTGTCAAGGAAGAAAAAGTCATGCGATCTTCTGCGGCCGCACTGCTCTGCGTCCCATCTTAGGGCATTGATCAAAGTGTATCCATTGGTAGAAACCTAACTCCTTTGAGAAAGCCAAGTCTTTGATTAAAATAGAACGACCTTTGGAGAACAGGTTTAAATTCCAGCACTGCCCCCTTCAGTTCTGCAGACTTTAGATACAACCTTTTCTATGCAAAGGGAAGAATCATGTCTGTCTTGGGGTGCTGTCTTGCACACGGCAATCAACAGATGTACTGTTCGTTTTCCGTGCGTGCTGTCCATATCATGATCTCTTTGTGGGTCTCTTCATCCTTCTTTGTATCCAGTGCCTAGCACAGCCTCTAGCGTGCAGCAAACTCTCAAATATTTACTGAGTAAATGATAGAATATGTAAGCAGAGATTAACTATAAGCATTGAAAGAGAATGGAACTGAAATGTATATGACGTACTTTATTAAGTATATAAACTAGCTGGACTTCAGGTATGCTTAACACAGAGAGAAAATCATATCTTTTCATCTTATAATAAAGGATTTTCAATTTGACTTCTGATTAGGTGGACAAACCAGAAACTCGAATTCTACTTCCTTGATTTACTTGTAGAAAATTATTTTCAGGCTGTAAAAACTGGCTTCTATCCTTTAAACTCAGAATTTATAACTCAGAGGTCCTCAATCATTTGAAATTTGGTTAAATACGAAATCAAACCTAATTCAGCCCATTAATTACAGAGCTCCTAATGTTCTATTCAGCATTGATAGCGATATTCTCTAGAAGAAAACAGCAACAATTATAAAACAGTTATTTCTGTTGGCTAGGAAATTTCAACTTCTTTGGGATTTTACCCAACTCTACATTTATTCAACCACATTTCCCCTCTTGTTAGGAGGAAGGTGCATGGAGAAATGGCACAGATTAGCTGCAGCTACTCTGCATTCAGCATCACTAAGAGTGAGCCAGGGCTGTGAGGCAGGAGGAGTGGACAGATGTCATTTTGCCTGCCCTGTGTTTGTTTCTCCTCTGGCCGTAGCACCCTCATTTTGCATTAGGGATTTAACCCCCTGCACTGCCTCAGCCTTGGCAGCACTGTAAACCAAGGCCTTCTTTCCTGTCCCGCGCCGTCAGTGGTGACCTATCTAAGCCAACAAGACGCTCTTTACCCATCTCAGACACCATACCCAGACGTCAAGGTGTCTACACATTCCTGCTTCCCAGGTCTCCAGAGCTGCCCTTGGGTCCAGTCTGCCCAAAGGCCAGTTCTGCAGCTTCCCTTCAATTCTGGGAACCACCTGAGGTCCTTAGAATAAATCCCTTTCACTTAACAAAGGGTGGGTTCCTGTTGCTTATAACCGAGGAATCCTAACGAATACATGCACAAAATTCATTTTATGGGGAAAATATTTTAATCTCAGTATTAGCTTATGCAATGTCAAGTAGTTATACCCAATCAATCCACTGTACAATAATCAGTGTCTGACAACAGATGGCTCCGGTGACAGGGGGCAGGCCGCCAGACCTCCAGAGCTCGGCTTTCTCATCTGTAAAACGATGATTATAAAACTACTAGATACTCTTTTTTTACTAGGCTTGCTGTGACAGCAAATTTTTCAAAAAAAGAATAAAGTGTTTTTGGAATCATGAAGCACTCTACAAACTAAGGTATGTAGCTTACATTTATTCTTTTAACACACATTTCCTAAACACAGACTGTTCCTACAAAAAAATTACCATGAGAATATTTTGGCGTTCATAGTGTATATTGTAAAGCAGTAGTGAACTCTATCCAGAAGTGTGGAATCCACATATCCAAATGCAGACAATGTCCTAAGCAGGTGCGATGGCCCCTTGCGTTGCTTTCGTTTGCAACAATCTCCAGATGGCAATTGCTTTGTTTTGTGTTTAATGAGTATGCATAGCGAAGAGTATATACTTAGATATTTTGAGAGAGTTTTGCGGGAGAATATCATGATATCTAATCAACAATTTCAGTTGGCTTTTTTCTTATGTCAAAATGTAACATCAGGCCAGGTGTGATGGCTTATACCTGTAATCCCAGCACTTTGGGAGGCTGAGGCAGGCAGATCATTTAAGTTCAGGAGTTCAAGACCAGCCTGGCCAACATGGCAGAATACCATCTCTAGCAAAAATATAAAAAAATTAGCTGGGTGTGGTAGTGCGTGCCTGTAATTCCAGCTACTTGGGAGGGTGAGGTAGGAGAATGTCTTGAATCCGGGAGGCAAAGGTTACAGCAAGCTGAGATCGTGCTACTGTACTCCAACCTGGGCATCAGGCTGAAACTCCATCTCAAAAAATAAAAAATAAATAAGTAACAGCAGTCCTCACTGTCTTTCTCGAGGGACGACGATGTACAGTGGAAAAGCACACTTGGTGTCAGCAGGAGCGGTGGGGTCCAAGGCCAGCCTTCTTCATTGATTATCTTTGTGTCTTTGGGACATTGGTTTACTATTCACCTTTTCCTCATCTTCCAAATAAACCTAATTCTGTCCCATGTTGTAAGAATTCAGTGAGATTATGAATTCTTTCCGAAGTGCAAAGCACCAGCAAAACGTAAGCCAGTGTTTACCCATCAAGAGTTATTTGCTTACAATCAAATAGTTACTTAATATACTCATATTTCAACCACCTCATGATTACCTTAGGCTAAACAGGTGGTCTTGCCTTTTCTTCCCCTAGCGCATTCCATGATCGATATTAAGAAACTACAATGTGCGAATCAATGTCATTTACACGAGGCTACTCTGTATGCACCGGGCCGAGCCGCAGCGGAATCCTCCTGCAGCTTGTTAGAAATCTGCCTTCCCGGCTCCACACCAGATGGGTTGAGGCAGAGCACTGTGGAGGAGCCCAGGTATCCATGTTTGAGCACGTAGTTGACTAGGTGTCTGAGCAGGTGGTTGAGCAAGTGGCTGAACAAACGTTTTCAGCAGGTGTTGTTTGAGCAGGCATTTTAGCAGGTGTTTGAGCAGGTGTTTTATCAGGTGTTTGAGCAGGTGTTTGAGCAGATGTTTGAGCAGGTGTTGTTTGGGCAGGCATTTTAGCAGGTGTTTGAGCAGGTGTTTGTCTGAGCAGGTGTTTGAGCAGGCGTTTGAGCAGATGTTTATCTAAGCAGGTGCTTGAGCAGGTGTTTGAGCAGGCATTTTAGCAGGTGTTTGAGCAGGTGTTTGTCTGAGCAGGCGTTTGAGCAGGTGTTTGAGCAGGTGTTTGAACAGGTGTTTGTTTGAACAGGTGTTTCATCAGGTGTTTGTCTGAGCAGGTGTTTGAGCAGGTGTTTGATTGTCTGAGCAGGTGTTTGAGCAGGGCCTTCAGGGGATTCTCATGTTCACTTAGGTAGAGAGCACTGGCTTAGACCTTTCCATTGCAGCCTCTCATTTCTACACCAAATGTGATTTTTCATTTTAGTTATAATAACCATAGCATTCATGATAGTACAATCATAGTGACAGTATAATAATAATTATAACCATGTTGTCCTCTGCTTCCTTCAGGTTAATATTCATCAGAAGCCTGAGTGACCCCAAAAAGATAATGACACTCTTCTGTCCAAAACCTTCTAGAGGCTTCCTGTGCTCACTTGAAGCAAAATCCAAAGTGCTGACTGATTACCAGCTCCTCTGGCTGGCCCACTGCAAGATGGCATCTCCGCCAGCCTCCCACTCAAGGCCTCCACTTCTGCCTCCGTGGTCTTTCTCTTGTTCTGGAGCATCCCAAGCACATTCCCCCCTCAAGGCCTTGGCCCTTGCAGCTCGTCTGCTTCCCCGCTGGTCTGTGCCTGACTGGTTCTTGTTTCTTTTGAACTCTAACCTGGTGCACGTCATGAGAGACGCCTTCCCTGAATTCCCTCCTCCATTCCTCTCACTGGCCCCGTCTGACATGCTTGCCCTCCCCTCCCCTGCCCCTATCCCCCTGTGAGCCCCATGAGAGAAAGGCCTCTGTCCTTAGATGTGTTTCCCCAGAACCCAGGACAGGACAGCCACACAGGAGGCAACTGACACACTTTTCTTAAGTGACAGAATAAAGTTCTAACTTTCAAGCACCCATATGGTTTGGTTTCGTGTCTCCACCCAAATCTCATCTCCAGTTGTAAACCCCATGTGTCCAGGAAGGACCGACCTGGTGGGAAGTGATTGGATCATGGGGCCAGGTTCCCCCACGCTGTTCTCATGATAATGAGGGATTTCTCACAATACCTAACGATTTAAAACTGGCAGTGTCCCCTGCTCTCTTTCTCTGTCTAGCTCCTGCTGCCACATGAGACATGTCCTGCTTCCTCTTTGCCTTCCACTATGATTGTAAGTTTCCTGAGACCTTCCCAGCCATGTGGAACTGGGAGTCAACTAAACCTTCTTTATTTTATTTATTTATTTATTTATTTAGAGACGGAGTTTCTCTCTTGTTGCCCAGGCTGGAGTGCAATGGCATGATCTTGGCTCACCTCAACCTCCGCCTTCTGGGTTCAGGCAATTCTCCTGCCTCAGCCTCCCCAGTAGCTGGGACAACAGGCATGCACCACCATGCCCAGCTCATTTTTGTATTTTTAGTAGAGACGGGGTTTCACCTTGTTGACCAGGATGATCTCGATCTCTTGACCTTGTGATTCACCCGCCTCGGCCTCCCAAAGTGCTGGGATTACAGGTGTGAGCCACTGCGTCCAGCCAGACCTCCTTTATTTTTAAGTTACCCAGTCTTGAGTATTCTTTGTAACAGTGTGAAAATGGACTAATACAGAGAATTGGCACCAAGGTAGTGGGGCATTGCTATAATCTTATTTCACCTAGGAATGTGGAAGCAACTCTGGAACTGGGTAACTGACAGAGGTTGGAACAGTTTGGAGGGTCCAGAAGACAGGAAGATGTGGAAAAATTGGAACTTCCTAGAGACTTGTTGAATGGTTTTGGCCAAAATGCTCATAGTGCATGGACAATGAAGTCCGGGCTGAGGTGGTCTCAGATGGAGATGAGGAACTTACTGGAAACTGGAGCAAAGGCCACTTTTTCTATGCTTTAGCAAAAAGACTGGTGGCATTTGCCCCACCCTAGAGATCTGTGGAACTTTGAACTTGCTGCCCTGTGTTCCAGCCACTCCAGCTCAATCCTGGCTAAAAGGGGACAAGGTACAGCTTGGGCCATTGCTTCAGAGGGTGCAAGCCCCAAGCCCTGGCAGCTTTCACGTGATATTGGGCCTGTGGGTGCACAGAAGATGAAAATTGAGGTTTGGGAGCCTCCACCTAGATTTCAGAGAATGTATGGAAAAGCCCCGATGTCCAGGCAGAAATCTGCTGCATGGAAAGACCCCCCATGGAGAACCTCTGCCAGAGCAGTGCAGAAGGGAAATGTGAGGTTGGAGCCCTCACACAGAATCCCCATGGGGCACCACCTAGTGCAGCTTTGAGAAGAGGGCCACTGTCCTCCAGACCCCAGGATGGTAGACCTACTGACAGCTGGCACCATATGCTTGGAAAAGCTGCAGGCACCCAACACCAGCCAGTGAAAGCAGCTGTGTGGGCAGAGCTGCCCCAGGCCTTGGGAGCTCACCCCTGGGTGTGAGACATGAAGTCAAAAGAGGTTTTGGAGTTTTAAGATTTAATGAATGTTTGGCTGTGTTTCAGATTTGCATGGGGCTGGAATGGAACATTTACCCAGTGTTTGTATCTCTATTGTACCTTGGAAGTAACTAACTTGCTTTTGATTTCACAGGCTCACAGGTGGAAGGGACGAGCCTTGTCTGAGATGAGATTTGGACTTTGAATATTTGAGTTATTACTGGAATGAATTCAGTCTTTGGGGATTATTGGGAAGGCATGATTGTATTTGGCAATGTGAGGACATGAGATTTGGGCGGGGCCAGGGGTGGAATGACATGGTCTGATCTGTGTCTCTACCCAAATCTCATGTCAAATTGCAATCCCCAGTGCTGAAGGTGGGACCTGGTAGGAGGTGATTGGATCATGGGAGTAGATTTCTTATGAATGGCTTAGTGCCATCCACTTGGTACTGTTCTTCAATCAGTGAGTGTATTCTCCTGAGACATGGTTGTTTAAAAGTGTGTGGCATCTCCCCTTCCCCACTCCCTTCCTTACACGGCAAGAGCAGGAGTTTGCATGGGGCCTACTCTTACCCTGTGAGTTGTTTCTCCTTTGCCTTCCACAAAGGGGAAGCAACTGACTGGAAATTTTCTGAGGACTTTCAAGGAATGGAAGCCTCTGTGCTTCCTGTATGGCCTGAAGAACTGTGAACAAGTTAAACTTCCTTTCTTATGAATTACCCAGTCTCAGGTATTTCTTTATAGCAATCAAGAATGAACTAATACAGATATAAATGCAAACGTTTTATTTACTAAGACTGCCAGCTTTTGGCTCTCCCTTGTGACAGCTCAACAGAATCCTTCTTACGTGTCCAGTGAAAATACTAAGTATTTTTACTTTGTCTAAGCACAGCTTCCTCTCTGGATGTTTTTCCTCCACTTGAAGAATAGTTCAATATCTTGAAGAATAGTTCAGTGCAAAATATTCTATGAAATGGAAAATAAAAGTAATAATTTAACCATGAGAAAATAATTTTTTTTTTTTTTTTAGATAGTGTCTGATTCTGTAGCCCAGGCCAGAATGCAGTGGCATAGTCTTGATACAGCCTCAAACTCTTCCAGGGTCAAACAATCCCCCCACCTGAGCCTCCTGAGTAGTTAGGACTACAGGCATGCATCACCATGCCTGGCTATTGTAGTGATGGGATCTCCCCATGTTGTCCAGACTGGTCTTGAACTCCTGCTTTCAAGTGATCCATCTGCCTCGACCTCCCAAAGTACTGGGATTACAGTCATGAGAGTCATTGTGCCTGGTCTAGTGTTTCATTCTTAATTATGAAATAATAACCAATAATCAGTAGCCATTTGAGGAAAGTCAGTAAAGAAGAAAGAAGGAAGGAAAGAAAGAAAGAAAAGAAAGAAAGAAAGAGGGAGAAGAAAAAATGAACAAACCAAAATAGGAAAAAAATAAAGGAACTAAAGGGGGAAAATGATAAATATGTTAGAATTAAACAGTAAGAATTATATTTAAGACCCTTGGAAAAGTAAGATATAACATTTTATTCAAGAAAAGGTATCAGAAGACAAAGAAAAGGGCAGAAACAGGGAGCAACAGAGAACTCTGAAAAATATATGAGAACTGAAACAAAAACTCAGTTAAAGATTCAGAAGACAGAGTGAAGAAAGCCTTCCAGAAGCAATTAAGAAAGGTATAAAGAGAAAAACAGGAGAGGAAAGATAAAATGTTTTTGAAGTCTCTAAGTTTTAATGTCTCTTTAAGAATTTCATTAAAAGAAGAAAAAAATGAAAGAGAATAAAATGTTAAAAAAATATTTTTAATGCATTTTTTTTTTAATATCTGAAGGGCATGGCCAGACATGGTAGCTCATGTCTGTAATCTCAGCATTTTTGGAGGCTGAGGTGGGAGGCTTCCTTGAGTCCAGGATTTTGCCTGGGCAACAAAGTGAGACTGCACCTCTATATAAAGAAAGAAAGAAAGAAAGAAAGAAAATTTTAAATGAATAATAAAAAATCTGAAAAACATGAGTTTCTGGAAATGTAAAAAGAATTATAGAAACCTAGAAAATCAAGCTAATAAAACTGTACAGAAAAGAAAATGTGTGTATAGTACCCTGATTGCTTCAGGAGTTAAAACCAGATTGTCGATAGTGTTCACACTCAGTGTTACTCAGGAAACTGTTATCTGTTTCTATTTTCCTCCCAGGGGAACAAATTCCTAAATTTCCCCACAGTGCTCTCTGAACACCTTTGGACCTGCTCTTCCGCAGAGTCCACACCTCCCGCAGTTCATCAGGTCCTGTTTCCTTTCTCCCTGGAAGCCCCCATGCTCAGGCTCTGCAGAGTCCACACCTCCCGCAGTTCATCAGGTCCTGTTTCCTTTCTCCCTGGAAGCCCCCATGCTCAGGGTCTGCAGAGTCCACACCTCCCACAGTTCATCAGGTTCTGTTTCCTTTCTCCCTGGAAGCCCCCATGCTCAGGGTCTGCAAAGTCCACACCACCCGCAGTCCATCAGGTCCTGTTTCCTTTCTCCCTGGAAGCCCCCATGCTCAGGGTCTGCAAAGTCCACACCACCCGCAGTCCATCAGGTCCTGTTTTCTTTCTCCCTGGAAGCCCCTATGCTCAGGATCTGCAGAGTCCACACCTCCCACAGTTCATCAGGTTCTGTTTCCTTTCTCCCTGGAAGCCCCCATGCTCAGGGTCTGCAGAGTCCACACCTCCCGCAGTTCATCAGGTCCTGTTTCCTTTCTCCCTGGAAGCCCCCATGCTCAGGATCTGCAGAGTCCACACCTCCCGCAGTTCATCAGGTCCTGTTTCCTTTCTCCCTGGAAGCCCCCATGCTCAGGATCTGCAGAGTCCACACCTCCCGCAGTTCATCAGGTCCTGTTTCCTTTCTCCCTGGAAGCCCCCATGCTCAGGATCTGCAGAGTCCACACCTCCCGCAGTCCATCAGGTTCTGTTTCCTTTGTCCCCTGGAAGCCCCCATGCTCAGGGTCTGCAGAGTCCACACCTCCCACAGTTCATCAGGTCCTATTTTCTTTGTCCCCTGGAAGCCCCCATGCTCAGGGTCTGCAGAGTCCACACCTCCCACAGTTCATCAGGTTCTGTTTCCTTTGTCCCCTGGAAGCCCCCATGCTCAGGGTCTGCAGAGCACACCTCCCGCAGTTCATCAGGTCCTGTTTCCTTTCTCCCCTGGAAGACCCCACGCTCAGGCTCTGCCTGGCGCCGGGCGCTCCGAGCTCTGCTTCTTGCTGCACAGCTGTCTCCCTGGGCCTCGCTTTCCTCGTCTCCTTTTCTGAGCCTCGTGGTCTGTTCTGGAACCTGCCTCTTGCTCTCTTCTGATGTGTGCTTGGTGTCGGGGAACACACCCTCTTCTCTACAGAACCTGTTTCAGTGTCGGAGAAAGGCGGGGCAACCAGGACCTAAATCCCTGTCCTTCGCATCAGAATAGCTCTAAGCAAATCAGCAAACATACCTGAGATGGTTTCTACCTA